ACAATGAAAACAGAATAAAAATATAACATAAAACTCTTGGAAGACATGATAGAGAAGGAAAAAATAAGTTTGCATGATCATTACAACCTCCTAGCAAAATTAAATGTGAATCAATATGAATCATGGATTATATATACAGTGGTATACAACATCAATAAGACTTTTAATAAAAAAACTAAATATTTGAAAACATAAACCTTTAAAAAAAACTATAGAAATTCTATGGCAAACATAAAATAATACCAAAATTTTAGCAAGATTATATTTCTCTAAATCAAATGTATATATACGTCAAAGTTGAATAATTTGATAGGTGTCATTGTTATTATTTTACCTAATAGTTTTTTAAAATTTATAAATAAAAATAGCATAAATTACACATTATATATTAAATTCTCTTATATAAATGAAAATTTCTATAAATATATATAATTTTTTAATAATTTTAAAGATAATAGCTAAAAAAATAAACCAAAATATTAATACAGACTTGCGCGTAGCACGAGTTATATACCTAGTAAGCCTAAAACTTGGAGAGATAAAAATACATTAAGATGCTGTCAATTTGTCTATAATAAAAACCTAATCATATTATTAATTGGCAAGCAAGTTGGATTCTGGTTGAGAGTTATTGTGGTTGATTACTCTTTAGCCCTCATATAAATTTTTTTTAATTACCCAAATCTATTAATTATTTATTTATACTAAATCTAATTATTATTTTTATGGTCAAACTTTATTTACGGTTTATGTATTTATGATACTTATTATTGGTTTAAATTATTAACATCGACAGTTTCCAAAACTACTGTTGGTTATCTAGGTTAGATGTCGGTTTAAAAGTAGTCCATCTTATCATATTTCTTTTATTTAAGCTATCGATTAAAAAAAAAATAGACTTTCTCAAGAATTATATATACTAATTAAACCTAAGTAGGGGTTATTGGTTCTTGTATTTTGGTGGATTTATAAATCTTTTTTGGATTTGATAAATTTATTGATTTCAAAATCAGCAAAATAGAAAAAAATCAAATCCACTCAAATACCAAGGTTAAACCTTGTATTTGAGTCTTTGTATTTTAGTCATGAAAATCCTTCCAAATCCATTCAAATTCAATTAAAACTCAAATCCTTATAATATTTAGATTCTAAAAATGATAGAACCAATAACACTGTATTTCATTATGGATTTTAAAATTATAGAACCAATAACACTGTATTTCAATATAAATTTTAAAATACAAAAACCTATAACACTGAATTTGGTTTGGATTCTCAAATCCATTAAAATACAAGAACCAATAATACCTCCTAAGTTTTTACTATTCCAATTCAGAATCAGCCGCTTATCGCTTTTTTCTTTTATCATTGATCTTTTTATCATCAATTATGTTTTAGTTATGTTCATGCATATAGTTTTAATAACTAACATGAATGTTCTTTATTGATTTGTTGGTGTTCATATTCCCTTTTGTTTTCTTTGCTGTGAGATTAATAAATTCCTGTTTTTATGTTTTCCAGAGTTCGTATAGAATTAGGGTGATAATCATGAAAGAGCTTTTGATCTGAAGTCCGGATAATACTGAAACCAAACTTGAGGTTGGTTAAATATTTTGATACTTTAGATGTGTTTGTTTTTTTGTCTTAGTTTTTTATCGTGTTTACTAATCCCTAAACCTCTATTGTTTAGGCTATTTTAGTTCTGTTTATGATTGTTTAAATGTTGTTGCAGTTGTAGACTTACTTTTTTGATTGTGTCTTTTTCTAAGGGTCGAAACATGGGCAACTAAGGGATTGAAAGCAAAAACTTTTAAAAGGTGATTTGTATTTGTTTTAGAGTCCGTATTTCCATTTAATATGATCCAATGTTTGTAAAAAAAAATTGTATACCTACTTTATTGATTCACTCTTCTTAATCCATCCTATGAATGTTTTATCTTTTCCTGAAGAACATGAATAACACAAACCTGAGACATGTAGATGAACAAGGAAGATTAAGAATCTTTCCTTACAACGACTTCAAAGCCTTCCATGGTTACAAGGTTTGAATCAAAATCTCCTTTCTTAATTTTTAACTCTTATCTTCTATTTTTGTTCTGGTAATTCAACTCTAGATATGGTTTCTATTTGGTTATTAGAGGGGATTTTTCAATTTGTTTTTTACTATAAAAGAGTCGAAAGACTACTGATATCACCATATTAATTGTATATGGTATATGATTGCTTAGAAAAGTTTCATTCAAACGTAGCAGATGATAATTGTACTTGGATTTAGATTCTCCATGATAAGTGGAGCAAACACTAATGCTACTTATTTACGCAGATTACAATAGTAACTCTCGATGCATCTTTCTTCCTCAACACTTCAAACCATTGATTCAAATCAAATCATTCTCTTTAGTTTATCTCACTGAGTACTCGGTTGTTTTGATTTGTATCAATCTATTAATCTGAAAAAAAAATTCGTCATATATGAACTCTGAAGGTTTATATGGCAGGATGCACCTTTTGTGCCTTTCTTATATGCCTCAGGAAAATCAATAGTACTAAAAATAGCAAATTAGGTCAAGATTGTACGGTCTATCAAAGTTCTTTTGTTTATAGAATCAGTTTTGTTTATATATGGGAACCGGTAGCTGTTTAGAAATCAAATGACATCTGAAAGCTCACGGAAACTAAAGTTTTGATTGAGTCTTCATATTAGAAAATATTTTGTATTTTGTAAGAGAAGAAAAATAACAAGAAAAAGAGGAAAAATTAGTCTAAAAAGAAAAATATCTTTAAGATGGAGTACAAGAAAAAAGAAAACCAGAAGATGATAAAGACAAATTATAAGAAGGTGAAGATAAGGAAGAATACAAAAATGAAATAAATAAAAATTGGAAAAATAAGATATAAGAGAAACACGAAGAAGACCACAAATAAAATCAGAAGAAAAATAAGAAGTTGTAAGAGATGAAGAGGATAAAGCATAAAAGGAGTGAGTAAGATAAAAAAGTGAAAGAATAAGAAGACAAAGTCAAATTAGATGAGGAAGAAACTGTAAATAAAAAAAAATAAAAAAAACTGAAAGATGAATAAGAAAACAAATGACGAAGACTATTAAGAAGAAAAAGGAGAAAACATGAAAGAGTTAGAGATGAAGAAAACCAGAAGAAGATGAGGAAAAAAACTGGATCATGACAAAGATAAAAGTGTAATAGTGATAGACATGTAATTTTGAAAATCAGTAAGTCGGAGAAGAAGAGTATGAGTAAAAAGTCGGGAACAAAGAGGAAAATAAAACTGTAGGATCAAGTAGAAGAAAAAAACTGAAATATAAAGAAGACAAAGTAGAAAAACGTAAATAAAAAGTGGAAAAATAAGAAGTCAGAGAAAATGAAGACAACACAATATAAATGGGTAGAAAAGGAAAAAGATGAAGATGATGAAATATACAAAAATTTAGAGCATGACAAAGAAAAAATACGAAAGATATAGCAGAAAAAGAAGAAGAGGTCAAAAGAAGATAAGGAATAAGACATAAAAAAATTTAAAGATGAATAAAATTGGAAGAAAGTGAAGAAGATGATTGACAAAGATGATGAAGAAGGTGAAAGAAAGGAATGTAAGATAGTTGGAGAATAATGTGACAGAGTAAATTGTGAAAGAAAATAAAGAAAATAAGAAAGAGAGGGAAGAAAAAAGAAAGAAGAAAACCGGTAAATAACAAGAAGTGGAAATGAGATAATGATGATTAAAAAGGAGAAGAATGAGAAGAAGAGAAAAAAAATCAAAAAATAAAGAAGATGAAGAAGAAACTGATGAAGCCGATAAAGAAGAAGAAAGCTATGAAGAGGAAGAAAATTCATAGAAGAAGAATAAAGCTGAAAGACATAGAAAACAAAGTAAAAAAAATATGTGAGTTCTTTTCTAAGAATTCTATAAGAATATTAAAAGAGATTGTTAACTATATTGATATATTTATTTGTATTGATTTAGAAGTGTGTTTCTTTGAGAGTATTTAAATTCAACCATTTTATTGTAAAACAGTATAAAGTAAAATAAGCAATTTGTTCGACACACTTATAAAAAACAAAGAAAATCAAAAATATTCAATTTTTTGTATTAGAACAACAATAGTCCACAATGTTATCATTTGAGAGACTTTTTTATTTACTGCAAATCTGTTAGTAATATTTAAATGAATGTATTTGATACTCTATAATTGCTAGTGAGATGTAAAGACAACTACTGCGAGAAGCAGTTGCAGCAAGTTCAAGAAGTTCTTACAAATGCCTATAGTTTATACTCCTTCCGTTTTTGTTTATAGGATGTTTTAAAAGATTGTTTTTGTTCAAAATTAAATGAAGTTTACAGAAATCAATGCAAAAATTATTTTTTTAAATGTTTAAATTTTGTATATTATATTTCTATTCGTTAAATTATTTTGAAATTAATGTTTTATTTCGAAAAAGGAGAAAATTAAATAATTTCTTAATATATATGCAAAACCTTAAACATCTTATATAAAAAAAATAGAGAGAGTAATTATCAATACTAATATAACTTGATAGTTTATTCTTGAATATTTATATCTTTTAATAAAAAGAAAATATTATGAAAATTTGGTTATTATAAATATAAAAAATATATACAAACTAATTTTATTAATAAATGGTAATATTGTAATTTGTCCATAACATTTGTCCGCGCTGTGCGCGGAGGTCATCTAGTAATATGTTAAATGCCTAGTAAATGTACTGTCAACCTAACACTTTTGTTTGGTGTATCGGTCAAATTATTTTAAAAAAACGGGAAACCGATAACTCAAGTTTCCCAAGAGATAAGTACAAACGCCAAATCAGACACAGCAACTCAAAACGTCGTCGTTTAGTCTACGTAGAGTAGACTTCTCTTCTTTTTGACCGGTAATCACAGGTAAACATAAATTCGTCTTTTTTACCAGACCCGTTGAAAAACTCCGTTTAAAGTCACCGTTCCGTTCCGTTCTTCCGTCAATATAAATAAGCAGCTTGCACCCAATTTTTTTTCTTTTTCTTTTCTTCCCTCTCTTGGTCTGCTATAAATCTCCCTTGTTCTCTCCTCTTCTCCCATTTCCCGGTGACTTTCGTCGGAGAGATTAAATTTACTCGCCGCTCCGACGACTTTTTCTGTTTATTATCGCCGTTTTCGTCGGAGGTTCGATTCCTTTCTTCCTTATAAACTAACTCACTTGGATCTTATTTTCATTCGATTCCGTTCTGTAGATTTTAGATCTGGTTTTTTGCTCATTTGTAGAGCAAGCGCGACTGATTTTGAAAAGTTGACTCTGTTTCTGTTCTTGGATCTTGATCTGTCTTTGTTTCATTTCACGATTTGGATAGAGCAGTAGGAAACACAATTTCTAGTAGTAAAATCGTTAAATTGTAGATGCAATGTTGCTATTTTTTTTTCCTGGATACTTATTGAAATGGTTTTTTTACTTGCTTACGGATTTGAGATTTGAGTTTGTGTATTGGATAAAGTTAATTTCGCGTGTTTCAACGACTCAAGAGTTTTTGTTTTTGTATTTTTTTTCTTGTTTAAACTGATGTTATAGTTTTCAATATCTTTGTAATAACCTCGTTGATCTTTTGTCCTGATTTAGATATTGGTCTACTCAATATATCAATTAAAGCCGAGATGGAGTCACTTGGACTAAGAACTGTTGGTTCACACTGTTCTTTATCGGAGATGGACGATCTTGATCTGACTCGAGCCTTAGACAAACCGAGGTTGAAGATCGAGAGGAAGAGATCGTTCGATGAGAGGTCAATGAGTGAACTATCTACTGGTTACGGTATGCACGATTCTCCAAGAGGCAGGTCGGTTCTCGACACGCCTCTCTCTTGTGCAAGAAACTCCTTTGAGCCTCATCCTATGATGGCTGAAGCTTGGGAAGCTCTAAGGAGATCAATGGTCTTCTTCCGTGGTCATCCTGTTGGTACTCTCGCAGCTGTCGATAATACTACCGATGAGGTCTTAAACTACGACCAGGTAACGATCAAGAAATACCTTGAAACGTTTGATTGATTTGCAATTAGTGGATTGTTTAATGATTGACAATTAGTCTCTCAAAACGTTTTATTGATTGGTAATTAGTGGATTGGTTCATTGCTTTTAGAAAAAAATAATTGTTTCAAAAAGATAGATTTTTGATGTTTTCTATGTAATTTTATTAGTTAGTGAAGATGATGAATTGTAAATTTTTCTAAAAAATGAGTTTATAGTTACAAAAAAAATTGTTAACACAAAAAATGATGTTCTATAATCAAATTTTACTAATTTGTTTTTTTTTTAATATGTGTGAAAAGCTTAAAACATCTAATAATTCGAAACACAGTGACGTTCTATGCATGTTTTGGCTCATGGTTGTTGTAGGTGTTTGTGCGAGACTTTGTACCGAGTGCACTAGCGTTTCTGATGAATGGAGAGTCGGACATAGTGAAACACTTCTTGCTGAAGACACTTCAGCTTCAAGGTTCAGAGAAGCGTGTGGACCGGTTCAAGCTAGGAGAAGGTGTGATGCCTGCGAGCTTCAAGGTGCGTCACGATCCTAACCGTGGAATGGACCATCTCGTTGCGGATTTCGGTGAAACCGCCATTGGTCGAGTGGCACCTGTAGATTCAGGGTTCTGGTGGATCATCCTTCTCCGTGCTTACACAAAATCCACCGGAGATTTGACCCTCTCGGAGACACCAGAGTGTCAAAAGGGAATGAAACTGATCTTGTCTTTGTGCTTAGCTGAAGGGTTCGACACGTTCCCGACGCTTCTTTGTGCTGATGGATGTTCCATGATTGATCGGAGAATGGTAAACTAAACCACATTCTTGATTAAGCTTAGACTCATTGATATATATGATTTGGTTATATCATAATTAGTTGTTTTGAAAATTGAAGGGTGTTTATGGGTATCCAATAGAGATCCAAGCTCTGTTCTACATGGCTTTGAGATGTGCCTTGTCGATGCTTAAGCCTGACGGAGATGGCAGAGAGGTCATTGAGAAGATCACTAAGAGACTTCACGCCTTGAGCTTCCATATGCGTAATTACTTCTGGCTTGATTATCAGCAACTCAATGACATTTACAGGTATACTGTTTATCGCTTTAGATGATGATTATATTAAGCAAAAACTAAAGGTGGGCAAAACAAACTAACCAACCAAATTTAAACCGACCCAAACCAAACCATAGTTTATATCCAAACCATTCAGTTGAAGTTTTTTCTTCAAACCCGATCGGGTCGAACTGTACCAAAAGGTCCCAAACTGGTAAATCAATATATTTATTTTGTTAATGAATTAATTATATTAAATAATGTTATCACCCTTAAATAAAATCACAAATCTTTATTTTAAAAAATAGAATTAATATTAGCTAAAATTTTAAATTGTTTAATTATTTATAATCCTATTATCTAAAGATTGAGCTCTTAAAAGTTAAGTTTATGATGATTAATTTGTTTTATCTAAACCGATTTAAACTTAAACCAAACTGAACCAAATTAAACCGAAAGACCAATTGAATCAAATTAACCCGAATATAACCCAACCCAACCCAAACACATAATGAAACCGAATACCCACCCGTAGCAAAAACAAAACCATTTACACTCTCATACTACTTTCTATGAAGGTATAAGACGGAGGAATACTCTCACACGGCGGTGAACAAGTTCAACGTGATGCCGGATTCTATACCGGACTGGGTTTTCGACTTCATGCCTCTCCGTGGAGGCTACTTTGTGGGCAATGTAGGACCTGCCCATATGGATTTCAGGTGGTTTGCACTCGGAAATTGCGTCTCCATACTCTCTTCTTTGGCTACTCCGGATCAATCCATGGCTATTATGGACCTTCTTGAGCACCGGTGGGATGAGCTTGTAGGCGAGATGCCTCTCAAGATTTGTTATCCTTGCCTCGAGGGACATGAGTGGCGCATCGTCACTGGCTGTGACCCCAAGAACACACGGTGGAGCTATCACAACGGTGGATCTTGGCCAGGTCTATTTTCTTTCCCTTGAGACTGATTGCATAAGACATTTATTATGTTAGCTTAACTGAGATTTCCAATAGGAATAGGAATTTGGTAGTTCGGACTAAAAACTTCATAAAAATGCATATAATATCATATATTTCAAAAACATTTAAAGTGAATTTTAGTTTATTGGGTTTACCTTTGCACTGATTTCGGGTTACAGTTTGGCATTGGTTCAGGTTATCTGATACAAAATTATACTCTCTTGCTATTTCTAAATTATAATTTTAATTTCATTATAAATAAACTTTGGTTTGGGTTCGATTTCAATTTTGAAACGAGGAATTTTAGTCTGGTTCGATTTGCTGTTTTATGACTAAAATTTCTTTGATACATTTATCCTGAAAAGTTCAATTATTGGATAATGAATACGACATATTGTTTAATGATAAATTTGTCAATACTTATTAAACAATGTTTTACATTCTAACCGCGTATTTTTTTTTACTCAATGTGCAGTTCTGCTGTGGCAGCTAACAGCAGCGTGCATCAAGACAGGAAGACCGCAGATTGCAAGACGCGCGGTTGACCTCATAGAATCGCGTCTTCACAGAGACTGTTGGCCAGAGTATTACGACGGTAAGCTCGGGCGGTATGTCGGAAAACAGGCTAGGAAATACCAGACCTGGTCTATAGCTGGTTACTTAGTGGCTAAAATGTTGCTAGAAGATCCTTCACACATCGGTATGATTTCTCTCGAAGAAGACAAACTCATGAAACCTGTCATCAAGCGATCTGCGTCTTGGCCGCAACTTTAAAAAACCGATACTCGGTTTTTGTTCTGTTCTGTATTTGCCACGGTATAATTTTTTTGTTTTCACTTTGTTTGGTTGTTTGTATGATAATGTTATTGAAAACTTGTGCGGAAGAAGGGGACATAGACTATATTGATTGCTTCTTTCTTGCTTTGCAAGTTAGAAAAGCAAGTTAGAAGAGAAAAATGGGAAAAGCTCGTTTGTCTTTTTTATCAACATTTTTTTTCTTTTTTCATTTGGCGCAATTGCATTCGACAGATTCATAACGTGGGTTTATGGGGGTGTATTGAAACTGAAATTTTAAAATACTTTGTATTTATTTTAAAAATTTATGTTATTTAACTGATGATTTTTAAATGTTTTACGAAAATTTATGTTATTGAACATGAAATTTCTATAAAACCAATTAGTGAACTATCTACTGGTTACAGTAAGCTACGACGGTAGTCGCAAAAATACACAACTATTTCACGACTATTTAGCAATAAATAATGCGATTACAGACATATAGTCGCAACATAGTCGCTAATTAGAGACTACGACATGTAGTCGCAATATAGTCGTATAATTACAACTGATTTGCGACTAAGCTATGGTTGCGACAAATTAGACGCAGAACAGTCATATAATGTACTAACTCTATATGTAGTCGCAATATAATCACAAAATAATCGTAATCTTTGCCGACATAAAAATCGGTAAAAAACACATTTTCTACATTATGTGGTAGGTGTGACTTTATGCATATACATCTTGTAATTGTGATATAACCGCTTTGTAATCGTAAATATTTCTACATATATCTAACATCGAACGTTCTCGTTGCCTAGAAACTACTAAAAGAAAGAGCATTTGATAAAAAGAAAAAAGAGAAAGCGAGGGAGAGTGTTTGAAAAAAAAACAAAAAAAAAAATGAGGGAGAGTAATCTTAAAAAAAGGGTGATTAAGTTTTTTCTTTTCTCATATAATATCAGGAAATTACAATTATAGTAATTATCGGGAGTGGATGTATAAGAAGATAGATGAAGAGACGGGAAATTTCTTGGCAAAGTTTATAGCAGAGTCAATCAATTTATGACATTTGTAAATAACAAGCCTCTGGCGCAGAACAATATGGGTAAGTTTCACTGTCCTTGTAATGTTTGCAAAAACGAAAAATTTACCTTGGAGACAAAAATTTGGAATTATTTGTATAGTAGATGATTTATGCCAGATTATTATGTTTGGTATAAACATGGAGAAGAAATCAATATGGATTTAGAAACGAGTTATGTTAATAAAACGCAAATAAGTGGGAGTGAAGAAGTGGGTAATGTAGTAGAAGATAGATATGTAGATATGGTGAATGATGCATTTCATGATACCGAGCGTTTGATAACTATCATCAATATGATAATCATCAGAATGTAGAAGAACCGATACATAACCATTCCCAAAAATTCTACGACTAAGAGCAAAAAATCCATGATATGATGATTGTCATGAAGGCCATTCACATTTATCCTTAGCTGCTCGAGTCTTGCAAAATAAGACAAATTATAACATGAGTGAAAAGTGCATGGATTCAATTTACGATATGTTGACATAATATTTACCAGACGAAAACCAGTCAACCGGTTCACATTACAAGATATAAAAATTGATGCGCAATTTAGGCCTCCTATATTATACAATTGATGTTTGCATTAAAAATTGTATGATCTTCTGGAAAGAGGATGAAAAATGGGATAAGTGCCAATTTTGTGATGCACCAAGATGGAAGCCTAACAACGGACGACGAAGAACCAAAGTTCCATATAGTCGTATGTGGTATCTACCAATTATTGACAGATTGAAAAGAATGTATCAGAGCGAGAAGATTGCAGCGGTAATGAGATGGCATGCTGAGCACAAAGCAAAGGAGGGAGAAATATGTCATCCGTTTGCCAAAGAACCCCGTAATGTTTCTTTTGGATTATGTACAGATGGATTCAATGCTTTTGGCATGTCTTGTAATCATTCTTTGTGGCCTGTGATCTTGATTCCATATAATTTACCCCCTGGTATGTGCATGAATACATAGTATTTGTTTCTAACAATTCTGAATTCTAGTCCAAATCATCCACAAGCTAGTCTAGATATCTTCCTCTGATCTCTTATTGACGAGTTAAAATAATTGTGGTCTACTGGAGTCGATGCATACGATGTATCCTTGAATCAAAATTTTAATATGAAAACAGTGCTTATGTGGACGATAAGCTACTTTCCGGCTTATGGCATGTTATCAGGATGGACGACTCATGGTAAATTATCTTGTCCAATTTGCATGGAAGATACATAGTCATTTTATCTCCCTAATGGAAGGACGACGTGTTGGTTTGATTATCACCGAAGATTTCTTCCTCAAGATCATCCATTGAGGAAGAATAAAAAGGACTTCTTGAAAGGAAAACACGCTTTGAATAAAGATCCACCTCGGTATTTGACAGGTGAGCAAGTTTACAACGAGCGGTTAGATGGTGTTAATTGATATATCATGGTTTTTAACCATGGTATAAGTCCTTTTTATTGAGTCTTTTTGGTCTTTTTAGAGTCCTAGTAGAGTCTTTGCAGGTTATAGCATGACTAGAGCACAATTTGAGATTTTGGAGCTTTTTGGATCACTGCAAGAATCATCCCCAAAGTTAGCAAGTCAGAAGCCGTTGTCCTGCAGTTGGTGACGATCGTCACCACTTATGGGTGGCACTCAACAGGAGAAATTGCACTTTTGGCCCATAAGTTCCACTATTTGCAAAAAGACCTCAGTCATGATTTAGCCTGTATATTAGGTTTTTCAGCCATTCTTTTGGTTTTTATCTAGTATCTTATTTTCTAGAGAGACAAAGAGAGAGATTTGTAGCAGAGCTTTTGGAGAGACAAATCAGACTCCTTCAGAGCAGATTTCGAACTCCTTTATCTTTATTTCTTATTTCTATTATGCAATCTATTCTATTCATGATGTTTTCTCATTTCACCATGTCTGAGTAGTTTGTTAGTTAAGTTAGGGCTTTTATAAAGATTGATGAAGAGTTGTAGAATTGCAAAACTGTTGAGAAAATCCATTGGTTCTTCATTTGTGCTTGCATTCATATCGATTTATGAGACTAATAATCTGGATTTCGAAACCCTAGGTTGCTTAATAGATGTGAGAACATTGTTAATCATCTGAACTAGTATTAGATGAGCAAAACGCCTACTTGCAAAGAGATTTGACTTAGAAGTTTTGTGAACAATCGAAACCTGATCTTTAATGCATGCTTAACTTGTTAGAATTTTTAAAGAGATTTGGAATTCTGTGAATTAGGCATAGATAACTTCTGAAATGAGAATTGATTAGTTATATCGTTTGAGTTTTGAGTTTAAGACGGTTTTAATTCATTCATGCTTGCATGCATTCTACATTCTCGGATTCAACCTGCGAATTGTCCTAACTTAGCGCTTTTAGTTTTCTGAACCTTAGATCAATCAACAAATTGTCTGCTTCCATTACTTTAGTTACTTTGCATTACATTCATTATTTACTGCTTAGCTTAATCCGAATCTATAATCGCTAGTGTAGTAAGTTTACTCCCTTGGGATTCGATAACCTTTTTATGCTACAACTACTTTGCTGTGCACTTGCAATAGTTAACTAATTGGGTAAAACCCGAGCCCTATCATTAATCCACCAAAAACAAAAAACTGTAGTGGAAACGGTCATGAAAAGAAGAAGGCTAGCTATGTGAAGAATTTTTTTGACAATATCATGAATACTCTTATGAGTGTAAAAGGTAAATCAAAACACACCATCATGTTACGAAGGGATATAGAACGATTCTTTTCTCGGCCACACTTACATGTTGATAGTAATGGTAAAGCTCATTTCCCCACATTCACATTGACAGAAGAAGCCAGAACACATTTATTGGAATGTGTGAAACATGCGGTTAAATTCTCAGATGTTATGCGTCAGACTTACCTAGTTGTGCTGATATGGTTAACGGAAAGTTTTCAGGCATGAAGAGCCATGATTGCCATGTTTTTATGGAGCGTCTACTACCATTTATCTTTGCAGAACTCCTAGACTAGAACGTCCACCTTGCATTATCAGGTACCAATTACTTATTGCTCTATGAAAGATGCAACAGTTAAATATACTTCATATCATATTATAATGACCATTAATTTGCTGTTTATATTGTAGGAGTTGGAGGATTTTTCCGTGACTTATGTTCGAGAACTTTGCAAAAAAGTCACGTCCAAATTCTAAAACAAAACATAGTTTTAATCATATGCAATTTAGAAAAGATCTTTCCACCATCATTCTTCGACGTGATGGAGCACCTGCCTATACATCTCTCCTACGAAGCTGAACTAGGAGGCTCTGTGAAATATAAGTGGATGTATCTTTTTGAAAGGTTTTTTAGAAGTTGAAAGGGAAAGCAAAGAACAAAAGATATGCGGCATGATCGATTGTTGAATCATATATCAATGACGAGGTAGCTTATTTTTCTAAGCACTACTTTGCCGCACATATATAAACGAAATCAAGGTAAAGGTTAACATTAATCAAATTTGAAGACACATGCTATCTATTCTAATGTGAATTACTTTTCACTCATTTGGTTAGTATAACAAGATTCGAGTGAAGTCCCTGTATATTATGTCCCTGGAGTACCTGATATATTTACTCACGTAGGTCGACCAAGTGGGGAAATGCATGAAATATGGCTTTCAGAGATGTGATTATTTTCAGCCATTAGAGAGGTATAATTTGGCATGTCTTCACGTACGTTTTACTATAATCGTCTATGATGATTTTTCTCATATGTGTTGGTCTTATATAGTATGTTCGAAAATTTTATTTCTGCAAAATATCCAGAACTCCTCGAAATAGAACTCTCTGCGAAAAGAGCTGACGAACATAGTGCATGGGTAAAAGATTATGTATGTCTAAATAATATTTATATCTGGTTTACCGTCCTGCGACCATTGTATATTGACTTCATAACTTAATTAAAACTTTTGTTACATTGTATGAAGTGTTGTCATGAAAGAGAATCCTTATGTTACGTGGACTTTGGTTTTGAAATTTTTTGATAAACTTTCCGTCTTGATGCCAAATATTGGCCTTTCTTTGGCGTTTGGCGTTGATTGCTCAAGTTCAAAGGCCTATCTGCAAGTTTAAATGATACTAGAAGCTTACAGGCGTTGTAAGAATTTTCAAAATACGATGACAGGAGGCTATTGCCAGATGTCAAGCAACGAAAGGGTCAGGGTTGTTGTACATATGCTCCTATCCGGCCATGATGAGTTGGGGTCACGGCAGGGCCCTTCCTGGCTCACCAACAGCTGGGCGT